TTTATTATTAATGGTTTCCTTTTGAAACGTAGTTTTTTGAAATAATAAAATTTCATAAAATAGATGTATAAACATCGATATTACGGAGTAATTGTCAAAGTGTTACATATATAGGAGACAATGAAATGTCAAATGAAAAGATTAAATCCGGACGAAGGGAGTGTATTAGAGTATAAAATATTTTGTTTGTGTGAGATCACAAGTCTAAGCTTATGGTTAATTGGTTATGCACCCTCAACAATTAAATGGTGCAGAATTTGTACAACTTGGGAGCAAGGAGGTTTGTGCTGATTGGGCTGGGCCAGATCGGGTGCACGCCCAACGCTCTTGCCCAGAACAGCCCGGACGGTCGAACCTGCGTCCAGAGAATCAACGACGGGGTGCAGTTGTTCAACAACAACCTCAGGAAGCTCGTGGATTACTACAATGGAAACAACACTAGCGGGGCGAAATTCATCTACGTCAATACCTACGTGATCTTCCAGGATCTCCTCGACAACCCCTCTACTTACGGTAAATTACAAAACTTCCCCTGACCGCGATAAATAAACAATGCATTTCATATATCATGAAATGTATGGAATTTCAATTTAAAGTACAATTTTGACTTTTGTTTGTTCAGGGTTTACTGTGACGAATGCTGGGTGTTGCGGCGTGGGGAGGAACAACGGGCTAATAACGTGTCTTCCCCTACAAAGGCCGTGCCTGAACCGGAACGAACACGTGTTTTGGGACGCGTTTCATCCGGGGGATGCTGCGAACACGATTTTCGGACGAAGAGCATATAGCGCCCAAACCCCCTCGGATTCTTATCCTTATGATATTAGTCGCCTTGCTCAAGCGTGAGTGAAGATACATATGTAATGTATGTCTTGTTGGAACTGGAGTTGAAATTGCATTCCATACGACTAATTAAAGTCGAGTCATAATTTCGGAACAAAATTTGTTTTGCTTCTTCTACTAATTCATTTTGTGCCCCTGGAGGTTATTTGCGTCTCAATGTTTTTCTTGATCTTGCAGCTTCATCTTGTTCTTAATAATATACTCTACTTTGATTTCTTGATTGGAAATTTGGGACAATTAACCAATGTTGGTTCTTGATTCGGACAATTTGGGACAAATAAGGAAATTTGGGGTACAATATACTGTAGTCAATGTGGGTCCCTAATTTAGAAAGACTTTAGTTTTATACTCTACTTTGATTTATTGATTGGAAATTTGGGACAATTAACCCATGTTGGTTCTTGATTGGGACAAACAAGGAAATTTGGGGGTACAATATACTGTAGTCAATGTGTCCCTAAATTAGAAAGACTTTAGTTTTTGGTTCATACTAGATTTGTACTGGTACCTTTTTACTAGGTACATTTAAAATAATAAAATATCATAATTACGCTCACTTTATTTATTATGCATCACTAACCTCATTTAATATACTTCATCTACTTTTATTAAGAGTAATGCTAGAGTTACAAACTACTGGGACACAAATTACACAAACTTGCTATTTGTGTACTTTTCCAATGGAATAAAGTGATATTAAATACTTACAAAATGAAAATTGAGATACATAAATAGTAAGTTTGTGTAATTTGTGTCCAAATTGTTTGTGACTCTAGCATTATTTTTTATTAATGTAACTTAAATAAATTTTTCATCCTTTTTCAAATGTCATTTAAAGCTACTTCCTCCATCTCTTAAAAATTTTCAATTTTCACATTTTTCTTGTCATATACTCCGTAAAATATTTCAATTTGGAATAAATAGACACAATCACATTTAATTTTCTTAAATCTAACCGAACATGCCTCAATTATCTTTTATGGTCTACTCATTTTGATAATTCTCGAGACCTCATTTCAATTGTCATCGTTTCACCTTGGTCAAATAGTACAGTTTCTACTCCCAAAACTCAAAAGATGAAATATTTTGCGGGATTGAAAAAGTATAAAAAGTCAACTTGAGAAGAACATCAATTAGTTATTGAGTTTATCAAACCTCGAATTAGGAATTGGATGGGTCATGGGTCTTTTGCTAGCTGGACCATTGGGTGATAAATTTATTACGGAGTAATGGAGTATATAATTAATTTCAGACTATACCTAATAAATGTGTTATCTTTGGAATCTCATGATGCGACTCCATGTAGTTATATCATATCATATCCTATTCTATTACGGAGTATAAATTAAAGACAAATTAGAAACTAGTGGTACACCAAAAGGTGTAACCCAAATGTACACCACCCTTTCTCTACCATACATTTTTATTTCATTTTTATTTACTTATTTTTTTTAAATTTTTTGGCCTTTTTTAGTGGATAAGGAGGAGGTGGGGGACATATGTGGTACACTTTTGGTGTACGCCTAGCATTTTTCTAGAAACTAATACTCCCTCCGTCCTAATTCCACCGTCCCAGGTTGACTATATGCCATTTTTAAGGGAGTGTAAAATATGCATTTACTTTCCCAAAATGCCCCTAAACTCTTCCACTTCACCCAACAATGCATAGATCTAAAAGCACTACTCTAGCTACCATTTTTCGGAAATGTACTGCAACAAAAATAAAATCACATCCTTGAAGAAAAAAGAAATCTAAAATAAAAGATGGAGTAGAAAATCAAAAGTGTCGTGCAAACAAATGAGAACAGATGCAAAGCCAGATTTGCAGCTGCGGGGAGAGAGAAGCCAGATTTCCAAATTTGCAGCCGCCGGGAGAGAGAAGCCAGATTTGCAGCTGCGGGGAGAGAGAAGCCAGATTTGCAGCCGCGCGAGGCCAGATTTGCAGCCACCGCCCACTGCACAGCCGCCAACGAGAAGCATCGGAGACATACCTGGCGCTGCTGACCAATATTAGCGAGTGAAGAGGAGAATTGGATCTAGGATTTTTGGGGTGAGGGAAGAGAGACACAGAGGGTCGATTGAGAGATGAGAGACGGAGGATGTCGATTGAGAGACGAATGATGGCTGAGGCATTGGGGAGTATATGATGTAAGGGTATAATAGTCACTTTACACCTTTTTTTTGAGAGTGGGAAGGTAGTTTTAGGACGGAAAAAAAGGAAGTGGGAAGATGATTTTAGGACGGAGAGAATATCAAAATTACAGATTTTTAAATTCTATCTTTTCTTAAAGTAGTAATGTTTTGTGGGACAGTAGAAACATTAAAAACTATATCTAAAGTTCTAAAAAATAAATAGTGACAAATTAAAGTTATTTTATCTTATTAAATGATCGAGTGTGAAAAATAAGTAATTACGGGGGATTATTCTAGTAACTCTAGTTAGTTTTGTGTCCGGCAATTCGCCAAAGGGCTGGTTTACTGTTGGGAGAAAAGGTCCCATTACCTAGGAAATATTTCCTTGAGATTGGTTAAAACTCAAAGCGAGTATTTACCAAGGGTTTTATCGGTCCAAAAAGGTGGAATCGCCCACCCCAGGCGCCCCCACCTCCTTGCCCGACAGGAATGGTGGAGGAAGTAAATCATGGTGACTCAGTCGGCCAAGAACGCTAGACCCGTGCCCACCGCGCACAAGGAGTCTCCTCACCCTTTATGGGATTTTTGGATAGCTCCCACACTGCCGCTTGCGGGACTCGATCCCTGGTCATCGGTCCAAGATTTCACGCTCTTGACCAACTGAGCTGCCCATGCGGGCTTTACCAAGGGTTTTATATGTCTGCCGCAGGGACGTGGGGACGTGAGTAATGTTGACCAAATATGTTTTATGTTATAATTCTCGAATGGATTACAATGGACAGGGAAGATAAACGGTTCCAGAAAATAAAAAATAAATAAAATTCTAAATTTATAATTTATTCAGAATATTACAAAATAAACAAAATTGAAAATAAATTATGAGAGGCAGCAATTAAGGTCACTGGAGCAGTGGCGAGGACATTATGGCTTGAACCTGAACACCAGTGAAGATAATATGGCCTAGGGCAGAATGCAGTGAGGTCGTTATGGATTGAACTTGGAAAACAAAACACCGTGGAAGGACAGCAGAGTCGCCGGAGGTGTCCTTAAGGTAGTAGCTAGTGTCTGCCAACCGTACCGGTTAAACGTAGACACTCTCCTCTCAGGATAAAATCGCTATTGGGTGTGGTGATTGTACGGAACAAACACACACCAACGAACAAGAACGGTGTACCATATATTCAGTTCGATGTACTAAAAGTCAAAACATAGGTAAAAAAGACAATAATGAAATTAGAAGCAAGTTTAGCCCAATAAGAATTTGAGCCCAGAAGAGAAAATAGAAGCTATTGTGCTTTTTATTAAAGCTGTAGCATGCTTAGCTTTCAAAAAAAAAAAGTAGTGGCAAAGAAGTAGAGTCGCTTCCGTCAAAATCTAAGGGTTGTTTACTTTCTTTTCTGAGAATCATTTTCGTTGATCAAGATTTCAGCCGCCGATCCAGATAATCTCTATTCCCGATCCTACTCGCGATGTGAATCGCAAACCGAGCCGATTCCAGGCAATAGTACGATTGAATTGGTAACCTTAGTTCGATCTGATTCGAATCACAATTTCGGTACACTGTACCGCCAATGTTCGGATCGCAATCGAATTGGATTGGGTACGCCGTGTACCAATATAGAAGATGCGGTTGTAGCAGCGAGTTCTGTGACCATACATCTTAACCTAAACAAATTCTAAAGATACTTTTTACTTTTTAATAACTTTATTAAAGAACATGGTATTCACTACGAAAAAGATGTGATTTTAGAGCATCTGATCTATCCCTCTTTTCAATAGCTCTAACTTCATACTTTTGTTTTCCAACCTTTTTTTTAACTCGGTAAAAGTTCAAGTAAGACAATTTTTAGAGAGAGAGAGTAGTAAGAAGACAAACGCTATGATGAGTATGTATAAATATATGACCATATATATATAGGGCAGGCCATCCATGCCCGTCCAGTTCAATCAAAGCAGCCACAAAATAGAAGAGCAGTAGAGGATAACTTAGAATAGTTGCCAAACGTACTAAATAATAACGTAACTAATGTTAAAAACAGTAGAATTGAAATCCCATCTTCATGGACACGAATTAATGGAGGCCCAAGACAGTTCCAGCTATGCAAATATCATGTCACACCCCTTTTTGCTTGCCCAAGTATTTTTTTAGCTGCATTAATTAAAGAAAATGATTTTAGCTAAAGAAACCATTCAACCATAAGTCCAAAATCTTGTTTGTAGGAGACCCAGGACGTTCTTGAAAACACTTCTGCCCTAATTTTTTGTGCATCCCATAAAATACTTTTACACTACCTAAAATGTCTAAAATACGTTCAAAACAACTTCTATCCACAGTAAACTACATAATGAAATGTATTTTAGACATTTTAGGTGGAAGTAAACATATTTTATGGGGTGCGTAAGAAATTAGGGCGGAAGTATTTTCAAGAACGTAGAGAGTAAGAGAATATAGTGGAGAAGCTTACACAAGCTGAAGGGGTAGATCATGTTCATGCTTGTCAGAGTAATGAGAGGAAGATTGAAAGCCGCCGCCGCTGCCGGAGGCGTCGAGTTGGAGGTAGTTTCGTGCGTCGAATTGGTGGTGCGGCGGCGGAAGCTGCTCGTGGTGGTAGCTGCCACTCGAACTCCCCGGCATCAACTCCATATGCTGAGCTCTCTCTGTCTCTATTATCTACACACACACAAAGACACACATTTTAATGCATTGTCATTTTGACACCCCAAAAATTGTGATTTTCAAATTGTGCCCATTTAAAAGGATTGGGAAATGTATAAAGAGAGAAAGAGAGAACCTTGGCGCGAAGGTATTGGTTGTTATTATGTAAATCAATTTCCTGCTGCATTATTTACAGTGTAAAAACAAAAACCCAAAATCAGAATGTTAAATAATCCTTGTGGGGTAGGGTAAATTAAGGGGTGCATTAGTTAATTCTTATTGACAATATCAGAAGTTACCCTTTTCTGCATGTAGTCAATTTCAGCAAATAGCATCTCATTCTGCAATTGTCATTAAAAGGAGGGTGTAAGCCATCAAAATACACACTAATATTGCTGTAAAATGATTAACTCAAACCTAATTTGAATAATTATATATTACTGTCAATAATATAATACTCTCCCACTAATGGCGCTTCTTAACTTTTGTTTGGTTATAAAATTTAAACTATACAATTGTACTTTATTAGTACTCTATCCGTTCAAAATGTATCTTTTCTGTTTCGTTATTTGTCCGTCCATAAATTATTTTTTCATTTACCTTTTTGGCATATACTTTTTCTTTAAACCACATACTCCCTCCGTCCCAGAAAACATGGAAGTTTTGATTTTGAAGAGAGATTAAAGGGAGTGTATTTTGGTATTGAATTTCCAAAAATGTCCTTTGATGTGATGGGTAAAAGTATGATTAGATGAATAGATTATTAGTAAAAAGGTATGATGTGATAGGTAGGGTATGAAAAAGTAAGGGGTAAAAGTGACTTTTTAATAGAAATGAGAAGTGTTTGGAGAAAGGTTTTCAGGGACGGAGGGAGTATTATTTTCTCTATGCTTTTTCTTTAAATCACCCAAGCACAAATATGGAAAGTCAATACATTTTCTATTTTTTTAAAAACATTTGTGTGTAAAGTCAAATCCGGAATATAATTTTTAGACATTGAGAGTGAGATGCTAGATCAAACTTAGAACTTTATAATATACTCCCTCCGTCCCGCAAAAGTTTTTTCCTTTCTTTTTTTATCTGTGCCAAAAAACTTTTCGCATTTCTATTTAAAAGTCATTTTTACCTCTACTAATTTTTAACCTACCTATCATATCACATCTTTTCACTATTAATCTATCCATCACATCTACTTTTACCTATCACATTTAAGGCCATTTTTGGAAAGTCAATACCAAAATATACTATTCTTAAATCTCTTAAATATCTAAACAAGAAATATCTGGTAGGGCGGAAGGAGTATATGGGACATAGAGGGAGTAAGTGCAAAAAATACATTCATTTACTAATATTGATATACCATACCTTCTTGGCTCGGACTTTGCTTATTCCTTTCTCGATTCTGGATTCAAGATTCTTGAGATCCCTTGGACTCAAAGCACCTAAACCTTCACCCATGTAATTCCTGTGTGTATATATTTATATACATACAATTAATTAATGCAAATTAATTACAAGAATAATACACATACCTATAAAACATAACAAATCAATGATATAGGGAGCAATGAATAATTAATTAATTAAAATCACCTATTCTGGTTCTGCAAATTGCTGATTTGTACACGCAGTTTGGATGCTTCTTGCTGATAAAACTGGGTTTTGATTCCATGCAGGCCAACACATAAACAAATGCATCATCAAAATCACAAGAAAACTCAACAGAATTTCAACTAAATACGTATAAAATGTTGTATTTTAAGAATTTGGTTGTGTTATTTTTATGCTAGCTAGAAAGGAGCTGAGGTATATATGGTACCTGAGCATTGGCTTCAGAAATGGAACCAGTATTAGTGGAGTCTGAGCATGCCTTCTTGTACCTCTCAATTGTGGCTTTCACACTAGATAAAAGGGATTATTATATACTCCCTCCGTCCCAAAAAGATTTACACCTTTCAAAAAAATTGCGTCCCACAATCTCCTACCCATTTCTATTAAAAAACCACTTTTACCCCTTACTTTTTTAAACCCTACCTATCACATCATACCTTTTTCCTAATAATCTACACATCACATCCTACTTTTACCCATCACATCAAGGGTATTTTTGGAAAGTCAACACAAAATTATCTCTCCCTTAATTTCAACTTTAGTCAAAACGTGTGAATCTTTTTGGGACGGAGGTAGTAAGATGTTAATTAATTACCGGTTCATCAAGTCATAATTTCTTCCTAATATCTAACATGAGTTTTTCTTTTTTTTTTGTTTTTTTTTAACATTAGCTTTTTTATTTATTTATTAATAACAAGGCTTGAACTTTTTTTTTACTCGGTATAGGTGTTTCTAGGCTTCATTTCTTGTAATCAATCTATGATGACATCATCATAGGATTGGAACTTGTATATGACTGATGAATAATCCGGTTACTCCTTGTGAAGTAGTGCACTCTAAAACATTGACGTACATATTAACAATTTGATTACGTATCATAATTTTGACTCTAAAAATTGGACGGGAGTGCTACCATTTACATTTGTATAGTTTGGGCTAGGGTTCTAAAGGAAACAAATCGAATCTAATACTTACTCCCTCTGTTCCAAAAAGTTTGTTACGTTTAGAAAAAACTGCGTCCCGTAAAGTCCGTTACATTTCTATTAAAAAACCACTTTTACCCATTCCTTTTTCATACCCTACATATCACATCATACCTTTTTTCTAATAATCTACCCATCACATCCTACTTTTACCCATTACATTAAGGGTATTTTTGGAAAGTCAATACCAAAATAGCCCTCTTTTAATTTTCCAAAAAGTCAAACCGTCCCATTCTTTTTGGGATGGAGGGAGTACAAAATAATCCGCCGGAAAAAATTTAGAAAATAACAATATCAAATACTTCATCCGTCCTATAAATTTTTTCTTTTTTTATGTGTCTCACAATCCTTTTTCTCTTTTCTATTAAAAAACGATTTTATTTCTATTAATTCATATCCTACTTACTCCCTCCGTTCTCAAAAACACTTCCTCTTTCATTTTTTCCACTTCCAACAAAACACTTCTCCTTTCTATTAAAAAACCATTTTTACCCTTACTTTTTCATACTCTACCTATCACATCATACTTTTTCTCTAATAATCTATCCATCACATCTTACTTTTACCCATCACATCAGGGGCAAAATTGGAAATCAACTATAATTTAACACTTCCTTATTTTTGCCCTCAAATCAAATGGGAAAGGTTTTTCCAAACGGAGGGAGTATGACATTGTACATATTTAATAATAACTTACCCGTCACATCTTGCTTTTACATATTACATCAAGAGCAATTTGGGCAATTCAACAAAAAAATCTCTTTCATAAATCTAATAAAAATCCAAACAAGGACTTTGTGGGATGGAGGAAGTATGTTTTATGTATTAATTCAATGTTTGATTCCACCCCCTTCCTCTATCGAGAAAGGTGCTTTTGTACAGGGGAGGCCTTGACGTGATTCTTAAATCTAGCGATCGCGGGTGGAATGGTGCATATCATTACCGAACGAATCTTGTCCCCCAACCCCTCGCGTCACTTGATAGCTAATCTTTCCTATTACTGGACTGGGTTTCCATTTTGGGGCTAGTAAATACTCGTATTTGTATTCTTGCAACAATAACAAATCTAGTAAAATTCCGCAAAAATATAGTTCGAAAAGATGTGTGTACACAAAGTTTGCCACTATTTCACTATAGAGATGTTATTTCTAAGACACTTTCATTGCGAACACAATAGTACAAACAAAGGAAACACATTCACATGAATCGAGCAAAAGCATATGCACAAACACACAATAAGAATGCGAGCAACAAGACTCAAAGCATAGAAACTACTCCCTCCATCCCTGAAAACCTTTCTCATTTCTTTTTTCATCAGTCCCAAAAAACTTTTTTCATTTTTATTAAAAAATCACTTTTATCTCTACTAATTCTTAACCTACCTATCACATCACATCTATTCAATATTAATCTATCAATCAAATTTTACTTTACCCATCACATCTAAAAACATTTCTTGAAACTCAACGCTAAAATATACTCCCCTTCAATCCCTTAAAAATAAAAATCTCCCATGTTTTTAAGGATGGAGGGAGTAGTTAATTAGAATTAGTACTTGTTTGGCAACAACTTTGGTGTTTTGAAAGGTTATACTCCGTATAATGGTAGTGTTTAGTTTGAACATTTTCAAAGTGAATGTACACTATTAAGAAGTATCTAAAATGTAAATGCTAATTGAGAAATGTTGTTTCCAAATAGATTCATAAATATGTGACAGATTAAGGCAAAAATACATCATTGTAAACTAGGAACTAAGGTATATATGTCTACTCATGTATTTAAATCTCAAATCTCTAAACGTTCTTATCAAAGATTATATTCCCTGTAAGATATTTAAGTCGTGGGTCTTGCACAATCATCTACTTCTAGTTCTTCTTAGATATACCATTATCACTAGGGCTTCTCCATATATTTCCCTTTACATTTCCAAACCACTTAAGTCTAGTTTCTCGTAGCTTATCTTTCGTAAGCTACTTCCACCCTTCCGGGAATAGTCATGCTCCAAAATTTTTCCATCCTTAGCTTGTAAGACCACACATCTACCCCAACATTCTCATCTCTACCCCTCGAAGCTAATGAAGTGACGAACATACCTTTTTTACTGCTGAGCACTCTACTTCGTACAACATAACAGGCTTGACCATTCTCATAAAACTTTTCTTTCATATTTAATTTGATGAAATTTTCTTGTCGTAAAGTATACTTGAAGAGTGCTTTCACATTGCCCAAGTAAGATCAATACGATGAGCAACATCCCCATCGATCTCATCTTTCTCAATGATCGAATTGAATTACCTAAAGTTAACTTGTTCGGGCCTCTTCAACACTAGTTGTCAATCAAACCCTATATTCATTTGTGTCAGGGTTGCCCTAACACTAAAGCAACATTCGATGTATTCCATTTGGTCTTGCTCAATCTAAAACCATTGGGTTCCAAAGGTTGACGCCACACCTCTAGTTTTTCAGTGAATCACTCATTAATTTCATCAATCACTACAATATCTTTAGCGAAAAGCATGCACCAGTGTACCTACCAATGAACTCTATCTTTGTACTACCTCCGTCCCGTGAAACATGGGACATTTGTTTTTTAGGAGGGATTTAAGGGAGTGTATTTTGGTATTGAATTTCCAAAAATGTCCTTTGATGTGATGGGTAAAAGTAAGATTTGATGGATAGATTATTAGTAAAAAGGTATGATGTGATAGTTAGTGTTTGAAAAAGTAAGGGGTAAAAGTGACTTTTTAATAGAAATGAGAAGTGTTTTGTGGGACGGATAAAAAAAGAAAGGGGAAATGTTTCACGGGACGGAGGTAGTATTTTAATTAGTAATAATTTTGTCAAATATGAATCATAATTTCGAATACAAATAGCAAAATAAATTAAAAGTATTTGCTTCCAATACCACTCTTTAGTCATTCAATAGCTAAGGTTATTACAACTAATTAATGAACTTACTCAATCTTTTATGTTCAAAAAATATACTGTTATAAATTACTATGGAAATATAAATTAAAGTATAAATTATTAATTTAAAATGTCAGAATAATAACTTAGACAATATTTTTTAGATGAAAAGAATTCATCAAACTTTAAATTAAACTTAATAATGCGAGCAGTTCTAAGTTTTAAGGATGAGATTTTGTTTTTTAAGTTTATTTTTTATGAAAAAACGAGATCTAAGCTTTGAACATCATTTGACGAAAAATCAGAAGCTAATTATGGGAGGGATTATTCATATGATTTAAAGCTCTTAAATGTTTTTTTGTACAAATTCTAAATGAAAATGCATTTGAGAGAAAAACTGAGAATCTAATAAACCACACAAAATATTTAAAAAATTAATTAATGAAAAAGTCAAAACCGAAACTTTTATGATACGAAATTGAATTATTTACTGACCAACCTGTTAAATCAGCCAGAGGCTCTAATTATGTCTTCTCCATCACAACAAGTGAATGTGACATCGTAATTGATGTGAGTAATTTTTTAAGTCCCCAAGAACCCTAACTACATAGTCTGCTGCTACGAACCTTAATCTCTCCGAGCCACTGATTGGCTGCCAAGCTGGCATCCACTATTCAACGGCCAGATCCCTGCCACGTCCCCCATTTGATTCCCCGGGGTAATACCCATCTTCACCCACCCATTTACCCGCCTAGGGTTACTCCCAATTTTTAATTTTTTTTACTCCCTCTCTTTGTTTGCATACGTAAGAATTACTGTGGGGTACAGTTGTGCACAGTACTATTGAGTCATGTCTGTCTTATCAAGACACCTCCTGATCCCATCTCAGCCGTTCATTTTCAGCACCCAATGCCATGCAGGAGATATACTCCATCCCTTTGTAAAAACAATTTGTGTTTTGACTTTCATAAATTTATTTTCATGATTTGACTTTTTAATTATATTTTTAATGTTGAATAAAAGATAAATAACTTATTATATCAATGCAAAATTGATAGAATATCTTATAATGAATTTATTTAAATATATTAGTCATTTTTTCTAAAGCGTGAGAAAAAAGTGAGATTCTCCTAACACAGCTTAAAAGCTACTACCTCCGTCCCGTGAAACATTTCCTTTTTCTTTTTTTATCCGTCCCACAAAACACTTCTCATTTCTATTAAAAAGTCACTTTTACCCCTTATTTTTTCATACCCTACCTATCACATCATACCTTTTTACTAATAATCTATCCATCAAATCATACTTTTACTCATCACATCAAAGGACATTTTTGGAAATTCAATACCAAAATACACTCCCTTAAATCCCTCCTAAAAAGCAAATGTCCCATGTTTCACGGGACGGAGGTAGTATAATCATATCAAGAATGACATCAAAAATAACACGAAGTGTCCGTTTACTACACGAAAATGATGGAATTAGAATTAAATTGGTAGTTGAAATTTTATAGAACTGATTTGAATGAAATTAAGTTCTCCAATTTTAATTCATTTTTGACACTATCAATTCTAAATCTACATATTTTTGTGCTACCAAACACCCGAATTGAAATTATTGCACCCTGTTTCAATTCCATAATTTGAATATCGTGTACAAAACGGAGCCTAAGGGTCCGTTTGGTATAAGGAATTGATGGAATTGGACTTGAAATTCCATGAGATTCAATTCCATAGAATTGAATTCTGACAATTCCAATTCATTTTTTGCACTATCAATTCCAAATCCACATAATTTTTGTGCTACCAAACATAAGAATTGGAATTGAATACCTCAATTCCAATTCCATAATTTGAATTCCGTGTACCAAACGGGGCCTAAGGGTCCATTTGGTACACAGAATTGACGGAATTGAAATTGAATAGGGAGTTAAAATCTTATGAAATTGATTTGGATAAAATTGGATTCCCCAATTCCGATTCATGTTTTACAATACCAATTCAATTGCAAATCCACATATTTTTGTTCTACTAAATAGTACTCCCTCCGTTTGTAAAAAAGGTTCCTACTTTGACTTGGAGCCAAAATAAGGAAGTGTAAAATTATAGTTGATTTCCAATTTTGCCCCTGATGTGATGGGTAAAAGTAAAATATGATGGATTGATTATTAGAGAAAAAGTATGATGTGATAGGTAGGGTATGAAAAAGTAAGGGTAAAAGTGGTTTTTTAATGGAAAGAGGAAGTGCTTTGTTGGAAGTGAAAAAAATGAAAGAGAAAGTGTTTAAAAAAAGGAGGGAGTAGAATTCTTTGTACTAAACAAAGTCTAATACTACAACTTATGTTTTATTCCTAGATATTGTCTGTGTTTGTTATGAGACTGCCAATGTTATTTTTTATGTCATATTTTTTGTCACTATAGCATGAGCCTTACATATGTAGCTTACTTTCATTAGGTCCTAAATTGTCCTATCCCATTAAAATATTTTCTTTTTCTCATTTTTTTCCATTCTAAAAGACTATTTATCTTTTTTAAAAAAATTACCTATTTACACTTAATAATTATTACCACTTACATATATCTACCAACTTGGTTTAAAAGATGCCAAATTAAATTACACCCATGGATGGGGAGGGACTCAGAAGAGGCTATTATGCTTAGAAATATTCATTTTTTTTGAACAATACATTCTCTTTCATCCACTTCTGAGTCTTTGCTTTTTAAGTTGTGACATTGTAAGACTCTTTGTGAAAGCCTTGGCTGAGATATTAATATTTGGAGGGGGGTGGGCTTTAAATTTTTTTCATATTTATTTATTTATTTTTAAAAAAAGAAAGAAATAAATGAGAGGTTTTTTACTACAAGTGGTATGTGGCTTTTGTCAGAAGTGTAAACAAGTGTAAAATCTTGTGTGACGAGATCAAAGATTCTCTCCCCAACCCAGACAAGAAACTATATGCCCACCCTACCACCTAATTTTTGCTCTCAATAATAATAATAAAAATAATAATAATAATAATAATAATAATAATAATAATAATAATAATAATAATACTCCCTCCGTTTGCAAAAAGACTTCTCATTTTGATTTGAAGCAAAAATAAGGAAGTGTTAAAAATAAGGAGTAGTTGATTTCCAATTTTGCCTCTGATGTGATGGGTAAAAGTAAGATGTGATAGATAGATTATTAGAAAAAAAGTATGATGTGATAGGTAAGGTATGAAAAAGTAAGGGTAAAAGTGGTTTTTTAATAGAAAGAGAAAGTGTTTTGTTGAAAATGGAAAAAATGAAAGAGGAAGTGTTTTTGAGAACGGATGGAGTAATAATTTTCCCCACATTCTATATAACTTGAATATGACAAGCTATTGCGTTACAAGAGTCCATGAATACAATGTAATTTCCTAATATACTATAAGTTGATATAAAATTTATGTAATTAATTTTGTCGCACAAACCGTTATGGCGTGGTACGTCTTGTGTGTTACGTTCCCAAAATCCCTTGAATTTCTTTTAAAGAAGTAATTTCTTTTTCTCAAAGAAAAAAAGTGTTTGGATTGGTTCTCTTATGTGTTCTGCCAAGTGAGGGAAATTTTAAAAAGGACATTACATCTAGCCATTTAAATGCCATTTTCTTTCAAACCTAGCACTACCGTTTAAAAGCCTTTTGATTCAAGTAAAAAAAAGGAGTTTTATTACACTTCATCCATCTGAATTTAGTGTATCCCCTTTTTAATTCATATTTCCTGTGTTGTAATAAATCATTTCTCTTTCATTTTTTTCCATTTCTTCAAAATACTTTTACTTTCTATTAAAAATCACTTTTATCCCTACTTTATCATACCCTACATATCATATCATACTTTTTCACTAATAATCTAATAATCACATCTTAATTTTACCAATCAAATCAGAGATAAAATTAAAAAGTCAACCATAAATTTACTTTTCTTATTTTGACTAAAGGTTAAAAGTGGAAGGGTTTATTGAAATAGAGGGAGTACAATTTTTTACATTTATTTTTTTTTTCTTATTTTGGTAATGAATACCAATAATTATCTCATCTAAACTAATTCTATCCACACACTTTTACTTTTCATTAACTTTTTTAAACTCTATAAAACTAAAGTGTAGCCAATTTTATGGGACATAGGGTACTTTTTAAAAAACTCATTTTCAAGTAATGTGTTTAAAATATCAAATATGGTGTAAGTCTTTAAGTTAATTTTCTCTAAATTATTTTGAATAATTTATCAAACTTTTTTTTTACTTTTGTGTCTTAAAATCCTTCCTGTTTTTATTTTTAAAAAAAATGTGATACTCTTTCATCACAAATTGTGAAAAAAGTATATTTAATTAGGATATATATAGTTTTAATACACCAAATTTTTATTATATTGATTTATTTAAATTATACTCCGTATTTATTTTATGGTAAAAAAAGTCACAATTTGGCAAAAAAATTTAAACATAAATAGTTTTTAAGTATAGTGGGAGCATTAAATATAGAAATTAAATATAGAAAGTAAACAATGAATTTCGAAATTCGACTGGAAAGAGCTTAAAAAAACCCAAATTATTTTTTTTGGGAATACTCAAGATTAATTTTAAATCTTTACATATTACTCCGTAAAAATAACATGTGGAGAAATAGAACAAAAAAAACTTGGGAATACTATGATTCTGGAGTGTGATTAAATCGATGTGAAAGATTTGACAAGCTTGAAATGGGAAAAAGTTTAAGGAATTAAAATCCCATAGCTAATTGATGGGAATATATCTCTGATTTTTTTTAAATTTAACTAAGGAAACATCAAGTGATGGGGAAAAAATGGGCGAATGGGAGTTTGACAGGTTTCTTGGGAGTCAGAAAGCTTAATACCAGCTAGCAAAGGAGGAGAAAGAATCAGAGATAAAGGAAAGTGATGATCTCATGAAACCCATTATTTCTACTTTTTTCTTTGCTTACCAAACACCAGATCTATGAACTAAAAAATTAAAAAAAAATGGGATCCCCCCCAAAATAAACTAAGGATAAGAAATCAGACATTTCATGGAAAGAACATAACAGCAGAATAGGAAAGGCAAGTCAATCTTGCTTTGTTTTTTACAAACAAAGCTAAAAAAAATCTCACAGATTTATAACACATGACAATGTTGTCCTCAAAATGAACCATTTCAATATTGCCCCCTCTTTAAGAGGGACCAAAGAAAGCAAGGGCATTTTGGGGGAGAATTCTTACCTGTTGTTGGCATACTCATAGAGGCGGCCGCGGCTAGAGAAGACAATCAAAGCCACTTCAGCATCACACAGAACAGATAACTCATAAGCCTTCTTCAACAAACCATTTCTGCGCTTGCAGAAGGTCACCTGTCTGTTTGTTGTGTTTTCGATTCGCCTTATTTCGATCTTTCCCCTCCCCATTTTTCTTTGTGGCGAGATCTCCCGGGTTAGATCGCTCTGGAACTCCATTCCTGGACAAAATAAATTAAAGAACCCCTCTTTAATTTCAGGGCTACAAAATTCATGGATCAAACCCTCTATCTGTCTAAATCTTTGGGTCATTTTTCTTTTTCCACAAATCAAGAAGTAAAAACAACAACTTTGAGGAACCCCTTCCAAGATATTTACAGAAAGAGAGGGGATTTTTTTTATGAAGACTAAAAAGATTGGTTCTTGATTTTTCAAAGTCAAAATTTAAGGGCATCTGTCCACAACCCTAGCCATCAAAATCTAAGAACTTTTTTTTTTGAAAAGATCTTTAAAGAAAAGACCTTTTAAGACCATATATTTGTGTTCTTGTTGATATACCCTTTTGTGAATGGAAGAGTTTTGTGAGAAAGATGATTTATCACGAGGGAGGGGAAGTATAAAAGATTGGAATTTTAATGGATTTTTGTGATGACAGGTTTCAGTTTACTGACCTTGTTAAAGAAAGATGAAATAGTGGAAGGGGAGAAGAAGAAGATAAAGTTTCTGGCTTTTGGTAATGCTCTCTCTAAGCTTCTTTCTTGCAAATCTGATGAGATGCAGAAAATGGAAACGAGATGCTCTATGGGATAGCTATATATAAAGCTAACAGTGACTCTTTATTAATCTTTACTTAGCTTGTGATTATCACTAATTTAACTTCTTGCTGATATGTCATGCTAATCACTATGCCTTTCTAGCTTTAAGCTCTCTTAAAGCCTTAATTCATTTATGTAAAGTTACTTAGGATGATTTTATGCCTTAAACTTAAGACTCTATAAAAAGATACTCCCTCCGTCCCAAAAAGTTTGTTACGTTTAGAAAAAATTGCGTCCCGTAAAGTTCGTTACATTTCCATTAAAAAACTACTTTTACCCCTTACTTTTTCATACCCTACCTATCACATCATACCTTTTTCCTAATAATCTACCCATCACATCCTACTTTTACCCATCACATCAAGGATATTTTTGGAAAGTCAATACCAAAATATCTCTCCCTTAATTTCCCAAAAAGTCAAACCGTCCCATTCTTTTTGGGACGGAGGGAGTACTTGGAAAAAATTGAGGAAGATGACAAAGAAATTACGGGCAATCTCAGGATTCAAATTAAGATTACATCTCAATTTCTCTTCTCTTAGATTATTGTCTATTTGGGCATTGACTCATGGGGGGCCATAGATGCGGTTCATCCTCTTTTCTCGTAAACATGAAGTTTTAAAATCATGTCGTTTTATGTTTGGTCTCATAATAAGCTCAGCGTCTATGAAAAAGAAACATTCTAAAGGTATCTCAATTTTGATCATAATTTCAGACATTTTCACCATTCTCTGTCAGTGAATATTTAATTTGCACAAAGAATGATGTCAAAGTTGGAACGCTCCTAATTTAAAAAAGTTTTCAAGTTGGAAGAAGAATGATGTCAAAGTTGGAACACTCCTAATAAGTTAAATAAACATAAATTTATCTCTATTTTATACCCCTAATAATTTCATAAATTTGGAAGAAGAATAAGAGAATTGATTGATAATTAGGGAATCACTCCTGAAGATTATTTTTGTGGTTTCTAGACCGTTCATTTTTTATTGATCCCATCATATTCTCAAATTGGATAGATTTTAGGGTTCATTTTGTGATTTGGGTTTCAGCTAGATTGGGGTTTTGGGTTAGGGGTGGTGGGGTTGGGGGTGGGGTTGGGGTTGGGTGGGGGGCTAGTGATGTGCAGATGAGAAAATGACAGATGAAAGTGATGTATGATGGGTGGAGTGAACATTATAGACTAGGTTTACACTCAATCTTAATTGTATTTTCGGAGTACTATGTTGTCATTAGACAATAAAGAGAAAAATCTTTACTCAAAAAAAAAAAAAACTTTTTTAGGGACTGAGTACTTTGTTCATATCAAACGCCGAGACATTTTTTTCCTATTCGGCTTTTGTATTTCATTTGATTGTTCAATTCGTTATAAACTTATACTCTCTTTGTCTCTAAAAATTCTTGCTATATTGATTTTAGAACAATTTTTAAAAAAATATGTTTTGGTATTTTGTAATACCCTAATCTGTCCAGGTCTGCAGCCCAATTCAGACTAAAGTATAAACTTGGTATTCGTAAACATTCCAAATATTTCAAACATTTAAAACTTTATTTCATAATAATTAATTCAAAATAGTAACGGAGTAATTTAGTGTTGCGGAAGCTTAAATAAACATAATACAAACATAATTAATTTATGTCTTTTCAAACAGTAATTTAAATCCAAAACACACATCCGTCCGACCATCTCGTCCCATCTGCTTCCAGGAAATCTTTTCTTCATTCTTTTTGTTTACCTGCGTGTAGCAAATAAAACATACTACACGCTCAGTGTTTAAGCTGAGTAAGCATATCTAATGCATCGAACATCCATATAAACTGAATCTAAATTCATAATCAAATCATTTGATATCATGCACATAATGTTCAGTTCAGGTACTCATAAATCATAAGTCAATATTCAACATTCATTATTTTATTTTCACATTTTATCCGTCATTCATAATAACCACAATATTCAATTCAATATTTATTCATATATATTATTCAACGGTATGATCCTTATACTATTCTTAGTCTAAGGCCAATCACTTTAATATTTGTCAACCCTTGAATGAATTCTAGTTTAAATAATTAAACTATATCCCAGTATAAAATACTCCTAAATAATCCTTAAGCTAGGCTTAGTTTTAGATAAAAGGGTTTTGAAAATCTTAAACTTACCTTCACTTAAGGCCAACCAAAAACCGACAGCGTAGTGTTCACTGTTGGGTGGGTGGTACCCCCAAACGAGTAGGTACTCAAGTTTGGTTCTTGGATCCCGTACGTACGTTTTAACCCTAGCCACCAGGGTTCATACCCGCAAGGCCTAACTTAAATAGGTATATCTTAGAGGTCTTCTAGATACCTTTCAACATTAATATGGGTATATCTTAGAGGTCTTCTAGATACCCTTAACAATATATTATTTTCACAATCATCAATATATTCATTATGATTTAATCATTTTTAATCAGAATATTTATTAAGATTTAATCATCATAAATCATAATCATCAATCAATAATCCTTACCATAATCATCAATCAACATAATATTCAATAACAATTAGCGGCCTAGCTTCGGGTGTTAACACCCTAACTTACCGTCATGCATCACATAACATTTTATTTGTTAAAAAAATATTACTTTTAATGTGAAAAATCATTTTTATAATGATCATAATCAATTGGTATCAAAAATAAGATTTTAGAGCTCAAAAATAACATTTTCACACAAATTTTCGGATCAGAAATTCGGGGGATCGATCCAGCTCTCTGGATCGATCCATGATATGAAAAATTACACCCAGGTGATCGATCCACCCATTTGGATCGATCCAGACAGCCTGGTTTTTGGTTACTGTTCATCTTCTTCTTCGTTCGGGTCCAATTTTGAAAATACCGTTTTTAGTTATTGAATTTCAACGAAACTATATAGAGATGTTCTCCAAGGTTCATAGATCATTTTGGCATCATTAATTCATAGTTTAAACATCAATTTAATGGTTTATGATTCTTGGTTCTTTAAGCATGTCAAACACAAAACTCAACCAAACGACCGTTTATAAACGTAGAAACGATCTATACGAACATTCTAGTCACTAGATATATCAACGGGCTTACCTCGAAGCTTAATGAAGGTTTTGAAGATTTTACGGCGAAACTTCCGGCGACAATAGCTCTCAATTCCGGCGACCTCACACCAAATTGACAGCACCACTGTGTTCTCCACACTCAAAGCTAACTCTCAGAAGAAATTTGAGATGAAATGGTGAAGAATTGAGTTCAAAGAGTTGTCTTATATAGACGAAGAAATGGAGAAGAAGCCAAGCTTGGTGATGTATCAGTCCCTGTTTCGGCGTCTCAGTGGGAAGGACTACGATTTTCATGATTCCAAACGCAAGTCCCTGATTGGGACTAAATTGGTCCCAGTCGGGGAACACTTTTTGGTCCAACTTTCTCCGAATTGAAATCCGTTTGCACCGTTGCGGTCGTACAATTAAACTCTATCCAATGATATAATTTTTACATTTGTTCGTTATACTTTTTCCAACATCATATTTTTGGGTGGTTGACTTTGATAGAGTCAAAATGGGTTTAATTGACTTTTATTCAAAAAGGTTCTCACATTTAATTCATATTATTTAGTTCCATGATTTATTTCAATAAATCATTTCGAAGTTCACATTATAAACAATTTCTTCATTTATTCTTAATTTGGATCTGTACTCAAGTTCTCAATTAAGATCACATAATAAATCAACATGTTGCATTTATCTGTATGAGACTTATTCAGATTTTGATATTAGATATGAGAACATATTTTTTTTTATTTTGGCCCAAGGCCCAACAACAAATTATTTTTAATCAAAACAAATTTGTTTAATTAAATATTTAATTCAATAAATATTAGGGTATGTTTTGGGGCGTTACTTTAACTTTTCAAATTTAGTTTTAAATGTAATGGTAGAAGTAGATTGTAATAGATAAAAGTAAAATAAATACATATGATGTAAGACAAATTCTTTCGTGGATCTTGTTCATTATATGAACCTTTATGTATTTGTAGTATAAAAGAAGTGTGCATTTTCAAAAAAGAACCATATGCAAGCCCATGAAAATTATTTAAAAAATAAATATTTTTCAAATAATAATAATAAACATTAAAATAATGATAATACTCCCTCCGTCCCATTTTATAACGCCTGTTTCGGTTTACGATGTTTGACTTAAGTTATTTTCAAATCATTTTATATGACAAATGGTATAGAATTAAAAAATTAAAATTACATATCAAAATACTACATCAAAATATCTACAAAACTAGTAGTGACAACAATATTTTATTTTATCAATTTGCTAACGAAAATAGAGAAAGAAAGTGAATGAAGTTTGACTCTGTGAATAGTGAACAGTCATTATAATTTGGGACGGAGGGAGTAGTAATTATTATTATTATTAGTAATAATAATAATAACGAATGATGATGATAATAGTTTATTATCATCATACTCCGTATTTGTAAATAATTAGAGAAATGCTTGAGGAACACCACTTGGAGTACACAACATATACACCAAGCCAAAAATAGGCACATACAGATACTTAATGTTTGTGCTTGTACATACATTGAGCGTCTGTGTGTGCTTGTTTTAGATTTGGTGTACATGGGGTATACCCCAAGTGGTGTTCCCCTAGCACTCCTCTCATTATTATAATCTAATAATAACAAAAATTACAATAATAATAGTAATCATTATTTTTATCATTATTAATTTATAATTATAAAAATAATTATTAATAATAATTAATAATAACAATAATTTATTATCATCGTAAGGTCTATGTTCATTATATGGACTTTAGGGCACTGAAAAAACCCGTGAAGCATCAGGGCTTCAAACCGGGGCTTCAAAATTTCTCTCTCTGCCACATCAGCTTTAACTTACCTCATAGATTTAGTGGAAATGGGTTTGAAGCCCCAAGGCTTCAAACATGGGTTTCAAACCTTCAT